GCCACTCTCACCACTGGTCCTGAAGGGATCATCTGTCCTGGATTCCCTGTGTTTCCAGTTCCTATCTGTACCAGTGTACATCCTCTTGTCTAGCCAGATTTGTAAGGTAGAATTGGGATCATGTTAGTGGAAGGGCGGGGAGTAAGCATTTAGGAACTAGAGGAAAGTTGTATGTTTCATCGTTGCTACATTGCACCCTGACTGGCTCATCTCCTCCTTGAGAGTCTCATTTTTTAATATGTTGTTTGCTGCCATCAAATTGGCTCCCAACTTACGGTAACCCCATGTGTAACCGAACAAACCGCTGCAGGACCCTGTATCATCTCTGTCATCAGTTGTGGACCTGACAGTTGTGATCCACTGGTAGATTTCTTTTTCCTCTATACTCAGTCTGGAAGTTCTACTGAAACCTGTTTAGCATGTGACCACACCCAGGCTTCCACCACCAGATGGATGGTGGCTGCCCATGTGGTGTGTTGTCCAGGAATCAGACCTGGATCTTCCCCACTGAAGGAAAGGCTTCTACCACTGAACCATCACTGCCCACTCTTTACACCGCCTACAGTCATATACCTCACATACCAACCACCCTCTGGAGAGCTCGCAGACCAATGGTTCTCCAAGTGCTCCCTGAATCAAGCACCAGCATTACTTGGGAACTTGTTGAAATGCACCTTCACTAGCCTCGTCTCCTGGGTCTCCTAAGTCGGGACCACTGGGGCAGAGCCCAGCAAACTGTTTCAATAAAACCCTCCAGGTGAGTGTGATACACATTCCAATTTGGGAACAGCTGTTGTAAAGAACTCCCCGGGCTTCCCATACACGGACTTCCTCCACAGGGACTTCCCATCTCAGCCCCTTCCTTGGGCTTTTGCCCAGCCCTGCCTCCACGAGCTCCATTCCTTTGTCCTTGTTCCACACGGGACGTGATCATAGTTCAAGAACACACCTGCTTTTCCAGCTGCTTGCTCAGCTGGCTCCCCAGGGAGCAGCCTTCATTTGGAACAATTTCCTTCCAACTTCTCTCCTTTCCCACCCTTTCAGGCATTGAATTGATTAAATTCAGAGGAAGAAATAGGCCAAATCCTCTGTTCTACAAAAACCAATTACGTCTGTGTCCTCCTCCGGTTGGGCCTGTGTCTATTCCATCTTTTCCCCCAAGAACATTTCTATATGTTCTCCAGGGTCCCGGTCCCGGGCAGGGGGCACCAGGACCCAGGAGAGGAGGACATATTCTGAGATGCTTCTTGGTCTCCTCTGACAAGAATCTCTGGACCTAGAGGGAGAAATCCTTCTAGGCCAGACAGCCAGCTTTGACCATCCGCTGATTCGGCAGCATAAGTGCCGGTGGTTTCCTTCCAAGGTGTTAACTTGTTAACTACAGCATTACTTATACCAGGGCTTTGAACTAGTTCAAAATGGTTCAGGCAAAGCCCATGGAAACAAGGGCAGCATATATGCTGTATATATGTAGAGTGTATATATGTCTAGTGGTGGGATTCAGCTGGTTCAAAGCTGTTCAGCAGAACAGATGCTTAATTTGGGGGTTTGGTGAACCAGTTGTTAAAATGGTACTTGTAATCAAGGTTCTCTCTAAGGTGGATGGCCAGGCAGCCGCCCAATATGGAAATCACAAATATATGTTCCTTACTCTTTCTTTTAAATAAAGTTTTATTGGGACATAATCCAAAATATCATATAACTCATATCAATTCAGTCATATCAAAAAGAGTTGTACAATCATTACCACAATTAATGCTAAAACATTTTCTTCTTTCTTGTACTTTTTGTTATTAACTCTCCATTTCCCCGAGCTTCCCCTGCCGTATCCCCATTAATCCAGTTAATGTCTCTAAAAATTCACCCATCCTGAATTTCATATACCAAAAAACTCACAAATACAAAAAAAAGAGTCAAAAAAGCTCACAATTATAACAAAATAGAGGAAAACCTCAGTTGACAAGAGAATAATAATAAAAACTAGAATAGCATTAAAATGAGTTAAGTGGAGATCAAAGGATAAGGTGTTAGATTTTAACCTTACTGAAACGGCCATGATCCACTTCCCAGTGCACTCTGTGTGATAGCAAGGCTGGTCACATCCCTGGTCTGTGTGATCCATGTGTATATCCCTTTACTTAAAAACAAACAAACTGATATAGAACAAAAGGGGATCACATCACATGTTCTCTTTTAACCTGGCTATATTTGCTGTAGTCGCCCCTGCCTTACTGTCCATCTGTTAACAAGGCCATTCACCTCCTTTGACTACACTGGAGGCTTCATTTATGTGTGGATCCTGCAAATGGGTTTTGGGCTCCCATTGTCATTCATAGCCTTCTGCAAACCAGTTCACAATTTAAGCTCTGATACCATTCCCTCCTTTGGATTTGGATTATATTATTTACAATCCTTGGATCACACAGGCTGGTGTGCTTCTTCCATGTGGACTTAATTGACACGTGTCTCTTAGATGGTTACTTGTTTGAAGACAAGATTTTGAGACCTCAGATACTATTCTTACTGATGGCCGGGTACCATCTAGTCTCTTAACCATATTTTTCTGTTAACCCCTTCTCTTCAGTGATTTCTTCATGAAGGCATCCTAACTCTTTTTTTTTTAACATTTATCACACAACAGCATATTCTAAGTACCTGTAATAATATCCATTCTCTCCATAGGTATAAAAAATTAGATGGAACTATGCTTGTCATATTTATTCATTCATTTCCTAAAACTCGTGTTATACTTTTGATAACATACTACAGTTTTACTCCCTGTGTTTGTTACTTCAGTCAACAAACATATAACATCAGGAGAAAAAGTCCCAGACAGACAGCAAGGGACACACTGTCATCTGTTTCAGCTATGCATTATGCCCCACTTGAACTGGCTGGGAGCTTGCTTGCACCCCTGATTCTGGCCAGTTTCTCAAGCCTGGAAGGCCTTAGCACTGGGCCCCCTTCCCCAGACCAATGCCCACCCACCCCCTCACGAGGCCCAGTTCTAAAGTCAGCTCTGTGAGGGTTTGTTTTTGTGACCTTTCCCTATGGTCACCCAAGTTGGGCGCCCTACTGTCTGTGTACCTTCCATGGTTCTCCCATGATACCACCAGTAAGGGATGGTGTCTCATCCCCTTGACATCCCCATGGTCTGATACAGATGTTGTTGTTGTCTGACTCATAGGGACCCTAGACAGGATGTCAAGGCAGCATCGATGAAGCCTACAGAGATCAACCTTTTTCCTCCCAGGCTCCTTTCTAGCTAGGGAGTCCCCAGCTCAAAACGCATGCAGAGAGTCATGCAGAGAGTTCCCCGACAAAGCTGGGAACCCAGAGTAGATCCAACATTTTGTCCCAAGTCACCAGGGCTCAGGGTCTGGCTGTGCCAATGTCTCTTGCAGAAAGCCTCCCAGGCAATAAGGAGGCGTTCTCCAGAGATACAGAACCGAAATTATCTAAGGGCACACAATTTACTGTCTGCATTTGTGTGTATTTATTATTCTGTTATCTTCACTAGCCTGATTTATCACTCCAGAGGCCTTTGTCCTAGAATAGCAAAGTTGCCATTCTTTAAGGTCCATTGTAGGAATTTGTGGAAAATCTTACCAACATAACAGGTGACTCGTCCACTCTAGGCAGTAAGATTTGCTTCACCACACAATGCCCACTAATTATAAACGATCACATTACAGTCCTCATGAGGAAGCGCCTCTCCCCCTTATGAAAAAATCATCTTCCATAAGACTTCAAAGTCTTAATAAATCGGACGGAGTCCTTTCCCATCAAGACATTACCAGAGTTCCGTTAAGAGAGTACTCACTTTTGCCTTATCAACAGGCACCCCTGGGTGGTGCTGCCAAGGGACAGGGTGGGGATTTTCGGCTCCCCAGAAGTGCCTCAGAAGAAACGTCTGGCTATCGACTTCTGGAAAAAATTTTTTAAACCCACTGTTGAAAATCCCGGGGGCACAGTTCTACTCTGACACTCACTGGCTTGTAGCCCACCCCTCCACGCCCCGCCGTGGCTGACAGCTTTTGTCATTTTAACAGCCAACGTTCAACCAGACTTCCTTTTCTCCCGCCTTCCTTCTGAGCTTCCACTCAGTGGGAGTTTGTCGTCTTACCAACTCTACAGCGAGGAAGGGCTGTATCTTCAGCTGTTAATGCCCCCGCACTGGGAGGGACTTGACTAGGCGTGGAGACAGCTCCCCAATGCCCTTTGCTCTCGTGGAAATTTTCTTTTGCTACTTTCTGGCTGAGAAGTCCTCCTACCGATTTAATCCCGGCGGTGTGGTGTTTTCTGAAAACGAACCAGCAGAGGGAGCGCTTGAGAAAGAAGAAACATTTGGACGCCTGTTCCTACCAGGGACTGGAAAATTCCCACACAGGAGGCACCACTTAATTTCAATTATTGTAATTAATGGTAAGTGCTAGCAGAGCTTCCACGGGACATAAACCAGAACATCCACAGAGTGATAGAGGTGCCAACCGCGGGGAGTCCAATGGAGAACCTTTGCAAAGTAGTGCTTAGGCTAGGATTTGAAACTTGTGGGCTCTTTGCCTTCTTACCAAGAAGAGCACTGGGGGCACAGAACCGCCCCCACGCAGTTCTGGGACCCTGGGCATTGAAGACATGACACGTAGAAGTCCTTCAGAACTATTCATGATGGAGCGTCTCTCTCTCTCTATGTAAACGTCTTGAACACTCATGCAGAGTATCACTCTAAGCCAGGGCCTGGCAAACTCTTTTTTTCTGTATAAGGCCAGATCACAAACGTCTTTGCGGTTGCAGTCCAAACACTCCTGGGGTACAACTTCTCAAATCTGGTGTGGTAGGTTAAGACAGGCAGAGGAAACGAATGGGCGCGGCTGTGTTCTCATGAAAGGTAATTTGTGGTCACTGGCATTTAAATTACATGCACCTGTCATGTGTCACAAACTATTCTTTTGGGTTTTTTCCAATACTTAAAAATGTAAAATAAAATTTAAAAATCTGCGCTCTAAGCAGTACCTCTTCTGTCTCTGAGAACAGGGCGTATTGGAACTCCACTGCGTCCATGGGCCATCGGGCCCATTCCAACTCCTAGCGGCGGACGCTTCAGGACAGGGGCCAACTACTCAAATGGGTCCCAGGGCTACAATCGCCAAGGAAGGCGACAGCCTTGTGCGGGGCGAGTGTCCAGCAGACCCCGGACCTTGACGCTAATCCGTTCTAGGCGGAGCACACAGCTGCGATGCAGTCGAGTTCCAAATCCATTTTTCCCATAAGAAAGAACTGAAAACAGATCAATCGTTCTCAACCACCAAGTTTTTACCCTAACATTGCTTTTCATTCACACATTACACAGAATTTTCAAAATAAATATGTTCAGAGTTCAATAATATAATTTAAATAAGAAACACACCATTAAATTTTTTTTTTACTACAGAATGGCCCATACCTTGAGACTGATGAGGATCTGCATCTGTGGACACGGACGTGGAGAGGAGGGAGGGAGAGAGTCATTGTTTGGAAGGGGAATCCCCTTTCATCAAATCAACTGGTAGCTGCTTTTCAGGAGTTTTTTCCCTTCTTTGCCTTTTTTTACTACAGAATGGCCCATACCTTGAGACTGATGAGGATCTGCATCTGTGGACACGGATGTGGAGAGGAGGGAGGGAGAGAGTCATTGTTTGGAAGGGGAATCCCCTCCCATAAAATCAACTGGTAGCTGCTTTTCGGGAGTTTTTTCCCCTTCTCTGCCTTTTTCACTAGGACCTGGCTGGCTGGCTCTAAAAAAAAAAAAAAAAAAATCTGTCTAATGTGGTCAGTTATGGCATTTCCTTAACTGTTTTCTAAAAGGGTTTACTAAATTATCATCAGCAATATCGATAACACGGTTAACCAGTTCCTTATCATGGTGATTCTTTTCAAAAAAAATTTTCTTAGGACCCATGTTTTTTATCTAAAAACAGTACAAAAAGCCACAAAAACTAAGAAAATAATACAAAACACTTGGAACACAGCTGCAAAAAGTTTAAGCAGCATGTACTAACAACACCAACTAACGCTGAGTGGCCTAAATGGGAACTGCTTTTGTTTATCAAAATCACGTGCATCGGATTCCGATGTTTTGTTTGAGCTTCAATGCAAAAGTTTCTCTACATTTTGCATCGAAATCTGGTTATGTCGAGTCCTGATGCTGTCAAGTACTGGGGTTCTCCTGTATTTGAACTGCCAACCTTTCCTCTAGCAGCCACGTGCTTAACCCTTGTACCACCAGGGCTCCTGGGCTGATACCTAGTGGATCTCAATGACAGGAAAAAATGTGGGCTTCATTGGAAAATTGAATTGCTCAGCATGCACTCCTCTGATTATTGCCTTTGGCAACTTTATAACTGTGAAGTACAGATAATAACAAAACTCCGCTTGCCTGTCTGCAACTCAAGTCTTAGGGAATGGACTTCTCCCCTGCCTGTGGAGGAAGCCACGCTTACGGACATCTGCAAACTCCTGTCAGGATTTCTGACTTCTGCTTTGAACCAGTCGTCACATCGCCTGGCTCCCTTATTAGTAATGAACTAAATAAATCTTTGACATGTGTCCATTTTATACCTGTAGGAGAGTCGTGATTTTACCTATTGAGATAGTAAAAGTTTATTGTGCCAACCTGGCCGATAAACACATGTGGGGTTAATAGAAGGGTGGAGAGATAAATGGCTCCATGAGTCTCTCCTTTCTAGTTCTTGGGTCTCTTGCTTTGTGATGGTTGGACCAGGGTGCAGCTGCCCTAGTCAGTTCCCTGCTTCAGCTGGCAAGGCTCACTTCCCGCAAGACATCTCTGAGGAGAAGCCACATGGACCTACCCCGATGCAGCCCTGGGTGCTGGAGCAGCCGTGTGGAGACCCTGCCAGCACTGAGATTCTTACACATATGAGTTTCTGTGGATTTGTTTCTCTAATGTACCCAGACTAGCACACCTGTAAATTTTTTGGAAAAGTATCCTTCAACACATTGGTCAGTTGTCAAATTGGACTCAGGAATGTTTCCCAGAAGACATTGGAATGGCAACCTCGGGAACAACCCAAAATGCTTCCCCTTGCCCACTGGAATCATCCTCTCTCCCTAAAAATGTTCTAGTCGCAACCCAGCCTCTCAACAACTATATGATTTTCAATGCCACTTAAAATTTCCCATCTGCAAAATGGAGGATTGGACTATTAAACATTCTATATGGTGGTGGTTCTCAAACCTTACAAGTTATTGCAGACCCTTCAGATTGCGAAGGGTCATGAAACTGATATTTTTCACACTAGAAATTAAAACCTGACATTTTAAAACATGCATTTAGTATTCCTCTTAAAGTAACCGGACCAGGCATGCTAGCATCAGGAATCTGTTTTAAGGAAAAGTAGTCTTGCTTTCCAAATAAATGTGGTGAGAAGAGTGTCATTGTTTGACACTTTTGTACATCAATAACTGACTTATAGACTCCAGCAGCCATCTGGAACCTCATTGTTCTGGTTGCTAGGGGCGGCTGAGTCGCGCTGACTCACAGTGACTCCGTGCCCCGTCCTGTGCCGTCCTCACAGCTTGTTATGTTTGCGCATCCTTGCAGCCGCGGTGTCCCTCCATCTAGTCAAGGACCTCCCTCTTTTTGCTGCCCCTCTCCTTTACCAAGCATGATGTCCTTCTCTAGGGACTGGTCTCTCCTGACCACATGTCCAAAGTACATGAGACGCAACCTTGCCATCATCCTTACCTCTAAGGAGCATTCAGGCTCTACTTCTTTCAAGACAGATCTGTTTGATCTTCCTGCAGTCCATGTACTGTCAATAGTCTTTGCCAACACCATGGTTCAAATGCATCAGGTTTTCTTTGGCCTTCCGTATTCAATGTCCAACTTTCACAAGCATGTGAAGTCATTGAAAGCACCATGGCTTGGGTCAGGTCCACCTTAGTCCTGAGTAACTGTGTCTTATTCAATTTGTTGTCACTGTGGCATCAGGCATCCCCTAAGAGGGGCCCTTGGGTGCAAACGAGCTGAAAGGTCAATGGTTTGAATCCACTCAGCGGTGCCTCGGAAAAAGGCTTGGCAGAGCCCAGGAGAGCCTGGGTCTCCTGGGAAATGCACGGGATTACCACGAGTGGGATCTGATCTCGGGGCAGCTGGTACTGCTGGGGATATCCTTCCTGTGGACTGCTGGCAGAGAGTGGAAAAGGTGTGTATCCTTCCAGTGTTATTACAGTGTCAAGGTGTCCTGGAACACCTTTCAGAACTGCTGTGATAACGTAAGCCGGGATAACTGCCAGATGGGAGAAACAATTCGTTTGATGATGACTGTCCAGTGCATCATAGTGGTCCTTTGCTTGGAGCGATGTTTAGCTTCCACAAGCATTCTGAGCAGTGTGTTTATTCGTGTGTGTGTGTGTGTGTGTGTGTGTGTGTCTGCAGCTGTTGCTCTGGGCTGGGGTTCTGCATTAGACACTTGAGTGAGATCTTGCAGAGCTCTGGAGAAGAGACAGGAAGTGGGCAGGGAGGGGAGGGGTTGAGTTTGGTGGTGGTGGTGAGTGGGGGGGGAGAAATGAGCATTCTTGCTATTTTTCCTGCAGAATGTCTGGGTGAGACCAATTTGAAGCTGCCATTTGCAAGGGTCCTTGTTCTCAGATGCTTTCTGGGTCCATTCGTCAATGCACGGCTGAGAGGGTGAGGCTCTGAACACCACTGGCATTCATTCAAACCTGGCTTGTGATGCTGGGAGGGTTACAGGGCCCTGATGTTACCAGGGAGCAGCAGTTAGACTGGTAAGAGAAGGGAGGTTTTTTTTCCTTCTGACAGTCCTGAAAACACATGGACTACTCTGGGAAACACATAATCACTTGCCCTGATTGATCACACTCTTGCTTTTCCTTGAGCAGGTACCTTGATGTCAGGGAATACTTTCAGCACAAGATGAGTCTGCAATCTGCCGCAGATCATTTCTAGGGACCGTGTGCACCGCCACAAGGAAGAGCAGGTAAGGGTTGACCAGCGTCACTGGTCACTTCTTTGCGGTGAAGTGATTCAGAGGTTGGAAGTTGACATTCTGTTTATTCTCAAAATAAGAGTAAATGCAGAACATCTTCCCCCATGGCATGCCTTTTGCACACTTACATCCCATTTTACAGGATCAGAGAGTAGCTGGAAGTTAAATTTCGAGAATAAAGCAGATTGAGGTTTATGTCATGGATCTGTCATCTAATAGCAATGGGAACTTGTTTCCCGAATCTCACGTCTCCTCTGCAAAATGGAGGTGAGTTAGTCTGAATTGTAGCCAAAGCGGAGGAGCCTGAGCCTACCACTTGGGGATGCGTAATTTATTACGGACAAGAGTGCTTGCAGAAAGCAGATGTGTAGGAAGAGAGAAAAAGGAGGTCGCTGTGGTGGATGTTACTGGGTCTGGGCGTTGTTGTGGACAATTGAGGCTCAAGTCCTGCTAGGGATCTTCTGAGAAACTATTAAAATACATTCCAGAATTGTTCCAGGTGGATGAGATGCTGGACATTTCTCCAGTCTCTCAGCTGGCTGCGAGTTGCCTCAGGGGGCATTTATTTCCCCTGGTAGGAAGGAGCTTGCAGGGAACGCTCTACTGCAGCTATGCCAGAGCTTCTGCGACAGTGGGGTCACTTATACCCATTGCACAGAAGTCAGTACAATAAGTGTCCACGTGGGTTGTACTGTAGCTGCTGTCAACCTTACCCTCGTGGTGACTATCCTTGCACATGCCGGAGGGAGAGAGACAGGGCAAATCTGTGCCCGGGAAGACTTCTGGAAGGATCCACAGACCCCAGGCTGTCTCATCTGTATGGCAGCCTGTAGGATTGACATGAACGATTCACAGCAACGGCTCTGATTAGTAGGATGACTCAAGAACCTTAGCCGCCGCCCCCGCCCCCCCCAGCCCTACCGTGTTGGCCAGCCTAGCTGCTGAGCAGCCACAGCTGGCATAGATGGTGACTGGAGACTTGCAATCTTGTTAGTGAGGCAGAGGACTAGGCTTTGCATTTTATTTAATTTTAGGTAATTTATATCTAGGAGCCCAGCTGGCCCAAGCAGATTGTGATCAGCTGCTGATCTAAAGGTAGGTGGTTCGAACCTGAGTGCTTCCTGCCATGAAAAGACTTGGGGATGTGCTTCCGTGAAGCCTCTCTGGAGCAGTTCGACTCTGTAACAGATGGGGCTGCCAGGGTTAGGGGCCAGACCCAAGGCTGGTAACAATTTATATTTATCTTTTAACAGCTGCATAACAAAACAACAAAACCCACTGACATTGAGTGCATTTGGACCCATAGGGACCCAATCGCACAGACTAGAACCATTCCATAGGCTTTCCAAGGCTGTAAATATTCACTGGAATAGACAGCCTCATCTTTCTCTTTTGGAATGGCTGGTGGCTTAGAACTGCTGATCTAAATGATAGAGAGTGCCTAATCACTGTGCCTCCAGGTATCCACCTGTAGATGACAAAGCAACAACAAAAGCAATCAAACTCACTGTCATAGAGTCCCTTCTAACCCATAGTGACCCCAGAGAGTGGAGTAGAACTACCCCTATGGGTCCGAGGCTGTAAATATATATGGGAGCAGAAAGCCTCATCTTTCTCGCAGGGGGCAACTGGTGGATTAGAACTGCTGACTTTGCAGTTAGCAATCCAAAGCTTAACCAACCCCTACGCCACCGGGCTTTCTTACACATAGACACATAGACACAGTGAAGGGCAATTAGAGATGATGGTGGAAGGGGTCCTACGTCAGGAATTTCAGTCCATGGTGTATTTCCTTGGGACCCTGGCCGCTCAGGGGCAGCCAGATCTCCTGTCGAGGCTGAAGAGTGGTATCTATTACTAGGACCAACGGGCTGAAGAGAATGATGTTATGGGGACAGGAACCTGCACAGGTAGGGGGAGGTCAGGCCACAACCTCTACTCAGCTTTGGTGCATTGTTCCGTGCCAGGAGCTGACTGCGGACCCTTGTGCAGGGAGAAAGCATTGGTCTGCAACTTCCTGGAGCACCCTCAGGGCTGCCTCTTACCAGCTATGCCTCTGTTCTGTCTCATATTACTGCAGGCATTTGTTTCTGTGCTCAAAGCCACCCACATTGGTGTTTGAGTACTTGCTGTGTCCTCAAAACAGTACTGGACATTATGGAAGATTCAAGAGGCGTCTATCCAACTAGTGTTCTTTTCTACCCAGAAATGATGCGTTAGCCCGAGAGACAACATTCTCACCGCATGAGCCATGAACTCCAACAATGTCTCCTCTGGCGGATACTGTGCTTCTCCCTTGTACTTCCTCCGCACGAGAACTCGCTTTGGTTGTTGACTACTTATCAGTATACTTCTTCCATCACCCCACAAGCTCCTTGAAGGCAGCACCATGGTGTCTTTCCACGCACCCTGTCTCTTGGAGGAGAACATCAGGGTTGGTAAAGTAGTGGGTCTGCGGAAAAGAAGATCCTCAGCGAGACAGATGGACACATGGCTTCAATAACGGGCTCTAACACAACCATGGTTGTGGAGATGGCACAGGACCGGGCGGCATCTAACTAACAGCTTCCTGTTATGGAAGGGCACCTCCAGGCTGTCCTATGGGGCTGCTGTGAGAATTGCCTTGATGGCAGTGGGAAGGCTGCCCTCCAGTGTCTCATTGCTACTTTGCCTCCATACAGTAAAACACCCAGCTGTTTGGAGCTGATGGCAAGAGCGCCGCAAGCTGACAGGGGAAAGAAACCAATGTGTTCTGAAGTTATTCCTAGATAGCATTGGGTTCAAATTGGGCCTTGAAAGATGAGCAAGAGTTCTTTATTCAAGGACTTGGGTAGTAACTTTCTAAAGAGAAAGCATGGAGGTAGGGCAGTCAGGACGCCGGATGGACCATGAGACTTTGAGAGACAGAGTAGGATCGGTAGGGTGGCGCATCACTGCCTTGGCCCTGGACCGCCAGGCTTTTAAGCGTCAGCCTGCCAACCACAAAGCCTGTGGTTCAAAATCACCAGCTCCTCCGTGGGAGAAAGAGGAGCGTGCCTGTTCCTATAAAGATTTCGTCTTAGGAGCACTAACGGGCACCTCTAATCTGTCCTGTGGGGTTGCTGTGAGAATTGCTTGATGGAGGCGGGGAGGTTGCCCGTAAGTGTCTAATGCTACTTTACCTCCTCTGTGTTCATGATGCCCCTGTACCTGCCCTCCTCCGTTTAGTTTTCACAACCATGTGCCGTGAGTGAATCAGGTATCCTGGTTCCCTTTTGGTAGCACGGAGAGGTTCTAGGGCTTGCCTAAGGTTGCTAGGCAACTCTGCTCTGACTTCTGATGCTAGATACACCCTTGTTTACATAGACTGCACTGAGGTCACTGGCAAACACTCCAGCCCCCATTTTCTGTCGTCTTTAAAGGGAGATGTACTCCACCTCTATCTTCTCTTAGTATCCGCATGAAGCAGTCGGTGTTGCTGCTAAGGAAAAGCCTGGGAGCCCATGACCCCCTTCATTAAAAATAAATCCTGCCTACACCTCCTGGTTCCAAATAGAAGAACATTTAGATTTGGGGCAGAACCGAAGGGAAAGGGATTTCCCTTTGCAAATTATTTGCTATTTGTGAATTGGAGCTGACCCAGCACCAATTCCCTCTGTCATTGTGAGCGCCGTCTAAAATGTGCGCCGCTTTTTCCAGAACGAGGGCTGGAGGCAGCCTCCCACGGTGGGTCAACAAGACGAGCCACGCTGAAACCCACCAGCGTCCCCTCAAGTCGGCTCGGGACGGGAGCTGCGCCGCACTGCCCACAGCCGCGTCCTTCCGACAGCGGGAGAGACCAGAGCCAGCCCGCTGACCGCCTGGCCCAGGCACCTCAAAGCGCGCTGAGAATGAGTTGTGATCCTCAGATGATTGTGCTGCTGGGTTTGGTGAAGGGAGTCTTGATGGCATAGTGGCTACACGTTGGGCGCTAAACCACAAGGCTAGCAGTTTGAAACCACCAGCAGCTCCGCGGGAGAAAGAAGAGGCAGTAAGGAGTTTCCGGCTCGGAAACGCACAGGGCAGTTCTCCCCTGCTCTACAGATGGCAGTGCGGTTTGATTTGGTTTGTTCTGCTTCCTAATAAGGCCTACTCCTCACAGGCAGACTTTGAGGGCACAGGAAAGGCGTGGGGTCACTGGGCGGTGCAGAAGGTTGATGTGTTGCTATTAACGGGAAGGTTGGAAGTTTGAGCTTACCTACAGGCTCCCAGGAGTAAAGTCCTGGCAATCTACTTGCTCGCCCCCCCCCAAAAAAAAAGTCAGCCTTTGGAAACCCTACAGAATACAGTTCTAATCAGACGCAACTGGAGCCTCTGTGAGTCAGACTCAGTAACACAGCAACTAGTTTTTATGAAAGGCTTTCTCCACCCTTTCCGTGGAACTAGTGAATCTAAAATTCACACCAGAGAATTCTAAAGCATTTGCCTATTCCTGGACTCCTTTTTTTAAAAAAATGCATGCTTGATTCAGAACAGTGCTGTCTGTGTTCAATCATCGCTCCTCTTATTATTTTCTTTTGTACAGGAAAAAGCACAGTATGGCCTGCCTGTGGCATATTAAAGTGTAAACACAGCCCATCTGTCTGCCCGCTCTGCTTCTCCATCTCTTGTTCCCAAGGGCTGGAGATCCAGGGAGAAAGGCTATGACAGAGCCTCCTGTGATTTTTCTTTCTCCTCTTTAGGGTGCCTCAATCACAAAACCCTAAAGAAAATGGCTGGGCTCCTTGTCTCACCCATCTTGTAACGTGTGCTCAGAGCCTTTCCCAACGAACCAGGAATGTGACGCGAGAGGTGGTTCACAGGCCTTCCTGCACGAGGAACCCAACTGCAAAGGAAATGGATCTGAAATTCCATTTATTAAAACAAATACATTGTCCAGATGGGATGAAAATGCACACATCACATTCAGGTTTTCCTGTTTTAACATTTCTGCTATTTCCCTCCTTTAGAAAGTCACGCCACGCAGGTCTTGCACAGGAAGAATGCGTGACAACAGTAACATATACGAACGATTCACTGTGGCCAGGAGCAGCGAGGAGCAAACAAGGAGACACGAGTTTAAGAATCCCCGACAGCAGCATCCTTGATTTTATCCATCTCCCCTAGGAGAACAGGGTGACGCCTGCAGACATGTGTTTTCTTGTTTTACCTTCACCTTTGAAACAGTATTAGCAACGTCAGATCCAGACCAAAGTTCTTACGTATACCCCCTGATTTATCAAATATTACTTGGTTTAAAATTGAAAAATAAATTGGAAAGCAGAGTTAATATTGATGGTGAGATAAGATTCTTTTTTTTTTTTTTTTGCTTTATGACGTCTGCATTCTGAATATTCAGGTTATTGTCAATTAATTCTGGGGCCTATTTTCATTACTGTCTGCACATTATATACAGAAAGGAGGGCCTTGAAAAAGTGGGCTTCATTTTCTTACTAGTTATCCCTTAAGACAAATTATGCTAATGAAGAGGATAGTTGAATTTCTAAAGTAACTAAACCTGTTTAGAGACATACGCAATAAAAATTTAAAAGGATCTTCCCTTAATAATTAAAGGTAGCAAAAAGCCAACGGTCATATAAAAACGGATATACCCCTGAACGATCAGACAGGAAATTGAGTAAAGCAAAATATAGTCTTTAAATTTCATTTCAAATGGGCTGTGTATTTCCTACCTTTCTCTTCCCTTTTAGGATAAGCCACCTGCAGCTCGGACGCCCTGCTTTTTTAATGATCAGACTTGGATTATAGTGTTTCTGGAAAATTTTGATTCCGTTTTAATTGTTCTAAGGATCTAGATTTATATGGAAATACAAAGAATTCTTTTGAGAGAAAAGACATGGTGTGGATTAAGAAAACCATCTGGGTCTTATAATAGAACCTTAATTACTGCCAAAGCATGCTTTATTCCATTGTTTTGTGTGACCACATATCCAATTTATGTTTTGGCTCATTTGAAAAATGTGCAAAGATTTTAGCTGATTCCACTGTACTGCTAGGCAAATTGTATCATATTATACTTTGATAAATACACTCCCAGTTTTTCTGCTCCCTCGTGTTCGGGGGGATTTCAAAGCAAACAAGAAGACATACACAAGGCCCTACTCTGCCTGGGAATGACAGGGAAAGATGTGGCACAGGCTCCCAGGGGTCCCCTTCATGGGGGTTGGGGTTGGAGGGTGGGGGGAGGGTTTGCAGCAGACAGGAACAATCACTCTCCACAGCCTGTCCTAGGAAGAGAGCTTGCTGCAAGAATGTTGTAAAGAAAGACCAGAAACCACTAGCAAACAATGTGGAGAACAAAGTAAAACCAAAAAGATCTCTTGGAAAATGTGCTGAGTGAAAAAGGAAACTGTGTCTGTGATAGAAGGGGTCTTCCTCTGAGGAGTCAGCTGTGGGAGCTGCCTCTGTCCCCCAAACAGGGCGCTCCTCTTGTGGGGGGTGGGGGTGGGCAGCCAGGGTTCTGTCTGGAGGGCCCAGCTTTCTACTTAAGATGAATGGGAAGTGGTCTTTCAGTGGAGAATTTCCATGCCTCAGGGAAAGAAGAGGGGGCTGGCTCCTTCGGTGGCAAAATCGGCTCATGACTAACTGAAGGTGAATCTACCTCTCCTGCTCAGTGGTCCCCATGCTACCCTGGATCCTAGCTAAAAGCCAGATGCTTCGGAATCTGGAGACTATTTTGAAGAGGCATTTACGCCGTGGTGAACTAGGAGGTATTTTAGGCATGGCTAAGGCGCGTAAGTCATCTCAGTGTTCCAAGATCACGCTTGCTCACTCGTTTCCTCTCCCGACTGGATAGTAAAACAATGACCCTTCTGAATGGCTATTAACAGAGGGGCGTTTTTCATGCAATAATATTCGAAAGTTGTCACAAGGATATGAAAGCACCGGTCACAACACATGAGTTACTTTTACTTGCAGAATCAAAGCTATCATGTACACAGGTTAGGAATAGTGACGGGAACATAGACAACCGACATGGTTTTTCTTTTTGTTCTGACTGCCATGAGGAGACACCCTGGGGAGCCTCTCTCTAAACAAACCAGCTACTCTCGGAGTTCAGTATCTCGGTACAACTCTAATGGGGAGGGGAGGGAGGAGGCGAGGGAAAAGGACAGAAAAAGAAAGAAAGGCACCAAGACGACATTAACATTACCGTCATTAAACCTGACTGTGATGACAGGACACAACTCAACAGGGATTCTACAGACAATAGTCACTCCAAGGTCAGCTCAAGACAGCTGTCGGTTTCCATGTTCCCTCTTTTAAAAATATGAAGCAGTGACATCAGTGGGGGCGGGGAATACCAGCAAGGAAGTGACAACAATTTTATCTTTACAGATTCCCCTCCTCCAGGCAGTTCTGCGGACACCAGATCTCTAGCTCATGGCGAGGGTTGGCTTTCATTCTTGTAAAGGGGGCTTGCTCTTTAAACATGCGGAGCCCGGAGCTTCCAGGATGGTTCTCCTCTTCGGCTTTAAATGCTGTGGACTAGAAAGGAGTCCACTTTGCTAAAAACTCTCCATCGGTGTCCCAGGAGCCCTGAGGCTCTGCAGGCTCCCCGCAAAGACTTAAAGGATGGCACAGAAAAACTTCTTCTCCCTGAATGGGTTCTCTGAAGCCGGCACCGGTGTCAGGAGAGGATCTTCCTTGGCGTGCGCTTCACAATAGGCCATCAAGTCTGCGGCTGCCTTGGAGACCTGGCAAAGAACACAGAGACACCAGACGCTTCAGTAAGGCACCGAGTCCGATTTTGGGGGACGCACAGTCAAAGCCTAGGCTTGGATTCCAATCCACTTGCTAGCTGTGCGCAAAAGCGGCAAGATAATCAACCTCTGTAAACTCAGACTGACTTTATTAGATTGTTGCATGTAGGTCTGGGACCAGGGCAAGATCCCTTGGGCACCACATTTACAGAAGCACTTGCTGCCCGGGTCATTCCAGTGCCACCCTGCCCTGTACAATCCTGAGAGTGAACATGCCTTCTTAAAGGGTGGGCCCCGGGGCCTCCTTTGCCTCACCTGAGTCCTAGGCTGGATGAGATCATCTGTTTAGTGGCGAGTTCATTGTAAACTTTCCGCTCAGGCTAGCCAGGATTATTATTCCGTAGTCGCCCCTCTCTGCTTCAGAAACAACCCCAACTTCCACTGAGTCCATGCTGACTCACAGTGGCCCTGTACAGCCTCAGAGAACGGCTCCTTAGGGCTTCTGAGGCAGGACCTCTGTATGGGAAGAGAAATCCTTGTCTTTCTCTTTCAGAGCATGGACTGGGTTCAAACCGCTGACCTTGCAGTTAGCAACCCAACACATAACTCACTACCAGGGCTTCCTCCAGAAACCACAGAGTGGTAGCTATTGTTAGGTGACACCCAGTGGGTTCCGACTCAGAGCCACCCTGTGTACAAGAGAACAAACCACCACCCAGTCCTGTGCCGTCCCCACCAGGGCGTCTATGTTGAGGCCATGTTTGCACCGCTGTGTCACTTCGTCTGCTCCCGGGCCCTCCTCTTTTTGTGCTGCCCCTTCACTTTACCAGGCGCGAGGTCCTGGTCTCCCCTGGTAACACGCCAAAAGACACTGGGGCAGGCATGCCTAACATCGTGCACACGATTTCCGTTTATTTCAAACCAAAGACACGCATGTGCACGCACACACTTCCTCGGCCAGGTGTCCATCCTTTAGGGAAGTCTCACGGGACGCTGGTCAGTGATTTCCGTGACTGCCATTTCCCACAACAGGCTGCTGCTCCTTGGTGGTGCGGCCCAGAGCACATGCCTGTGAAGTGCTTTGATGGGGGCACTGCTTTACCGCTTGAGAGTGGCTTTATTTTTGAGAAAGAATCTAGAAATCACGTGTAACCACACTTGGAGAAGAGGTGGATGACCAACATGAGGAGTGCCATTGGGTTCAAATATCCATAAAATATGAGTCACTTTCTTTCTTTTATTTTATTAAATACTTTCATTGGGGGCTTTTACATCTCCCATCAAAATCCATCTATTTATCCATTGTGTCAAGCACGTTTGTACATATGCCACCATCATCATTTTCAAAGCATTTTCTTTCTACTTGAGCCCTAGGGATCAGCTCCTCATTTTCCCCCTCCCTCCCCCACCTTCCCTCCCTCATGAACCCTTAAGTTATAGATTATTGTTTTCACATCTTACATCATCCTCTGTCACCCTTCACCCATTTTTCTGTTGTTCGTCCCCATGGGAGGGGGTTATATGTTCATCCTTTCTCCTGCCACCTTCCCCTTATCCTCCTGGTATCTCTATTCTCATTGTTGGCCCAGAGGGGTTTATCTATCCTGGATCCCTGTGTTGTGCCCTCTTATCTGTAGCAATGTGCATGTTCTGGTCTAATCCGATTTGTAAGGTAGAACTGAGATCATGATAGTGGGGGGAAGGAAGAAATTAAAGAACTAGAGGAAAGCTGTGTGTCTCATCGGTATTATACTGCACCCTGACTGGCTCATCTCTTCCTTGTGACCCTTCTATGAGGGGATGTTCAATTAGCTACCAATGGGCTTTGGGTCTCTGCTTCACGTACCACCCCCCCACCCATCCCATTCACATTGAGGATGATTTTGTTCTGAGTCTTTGATGCCTGATACGTGATCCTATAGATACCTCATAATCACACAGGCTGGTGTGCTTTTTTGCTTCTCAGCTAGTTGGCCACTTGTTTATCTTCAAGCCTTTAAGACCCCAGATGCTCTATCTTTTGATAACTGGGCACCATCCGCTTTCTTCACCACATTTGCTTATGCACCCATTTTGTCTTCAGCGATCGTGTTGGGAAGGTGAGCATCACGGAATGCTGGATTATTAGAACAAAGTGTTCTTGCATTGAGGGAGTGCTGCAACCTTAATTCTTAACATACAGATATAAGTCCATAGATCTGTTCCCCTCTCGTTATAGATATGTTTACATATGTACATGCCTGTATTTAGACCTCTATAAATGTCCTTTGTCTCCTGCTTCTTTCCTCTATTTTCTATTACTTTCCTCTCATCCCACCATCATGTTCAGCCTTCATTCAGGTTCAGTAATTCCTCGCTGCTACATTGCCCTTGATTAAGCCCACTAGGCATCCAACACCCTTCTCTCCATTGATTTTAGTTGACTTGGAGGTCTCTTGTCCCTGGGTTGGTCTCCCCGACGCACTTCCTTTCTCCCACCTCCCCTTCTCCTGTATCCGCCCAGAACCATGTTTCCTTCATGGCATGCTAACAGGAGATCATGAAAGGAAACAGCCAAAAAAGTTCTCGTCTTTACTCTTTTATATGGAAAGCAAAGGGCAAAGTTTTAGACTGAACTTGATGACTTCTTTTCAGGGCCTTTCTGTTGGCTAAGTGGTCGTAATTATTATACCAAATAGGAGCGAGTTTGTTATGCAGTAAAGACTCGACAAGAGTAATACCTAAAACTCATTTGCTTAAAAAAAAAAAATCAGCAGCTCACATATAAATGTGTGGTATAAACTTTAAAAAATTGATCTTATGATAGATACGTGCTAGACTGGGCAAGAGAGGCCCTGGCAGTGCAGTGGGCGAGTACCGAGGGGCTAACCAAAAGTTAATGGGTCGCTGCAGCAGTCTGCTTACATACACATCACATCCTCAGGAAGCCCTATGGGGAAGTTCTACTAGACAGGTCTTATTGGGCCCTTCCGTGTCCGTGTCCGACCTGACTTTCTGGAACCTGGGCAAAAGCAATACCCATGAGTTGCTTATCTTATATTCAAACATTTCATTCACCACAGCTTCCGTCTCAAACTATGTTGTATGTTGTGTCTCATTGTTTTCACTAGCCTGCAATCTCCTGAAAACCCAACACCATGTCAGAACCACAGAAGTCACTAGGACAACAAGGAATATTCCCCAGTCCTTATTCCATGCCAGGTGAACCCCGAGAGCGTAGTGGGTTAAAAGTTGGGCTGCTAACTGGCAGGTCTGCAGTTCAAATCCACCAGTGGCTCCGAGGGAGAAAGATGAAGCTTTGAAACATGGCTTGGTCCTGTACCATCCTCGCAAGCCATTCCTATGTCTGAGCCCGTTATGGCATCCACGGAGTCAATCCATCCCATGGAGAGTTTTCTTTGTGGGGGCTGACCTTCTACTTGACCAAGCATGATGTCTTCTCCAGGGACCGGTCCCTCTGGATAACAGGGCCAAAGTACATGACAGAAAGTCTTGCCGGGAGTATATATATATAACCATATCACAAACATTTTAAGCATATTTTGTTAAACTGTATTTCAATGTAATTAGTTTGTTTTGTAGTTTAACAATGATATTCTGAAAAGATGTCCAGGGGCTTCATGAGACAGTCAAAGGGCGGTTGGATTAAAAACAAGTTTTAAAATTTCAGTCTTAGATGATCTTCCTGATTTGACAACTAAGCCCAGAGTACTATTCTCCACACCACACCTAGAAAGATATTTAAAAATATATAAATTGGATCACAACACTCCTCTGCTTGAAAGCTTTCCACTGTACTTGGTAAAATACCAAAACACCGTAACACCTCCTGGGTGCCTTGGCTTGTGACTCTCCAATGGGCTGACAACCAGATGGTGGGGATGCATCAGCGTCCACGTCCTGATTATGACGGCTGTGCTTTGAGTATGCAAGTCGATGTCTTATCTGTAGAAAGACACCCTGAAGTACTCGAGGTGACAGGGAGACATGGCGACAACTTACTCTCCAGTGGCTCAGGGCAAGCATAGTTCACGCTGTCCTTGAACTTTTCTACAAGATTTAGAACATTTTTTAAAAACTCCACATGTTTAACCAAACAGGGGACATCGACATTAGCGACAGTGAACATGAGCATCTTTTTCAAGGGTCTTTGTTGCAAGGGGAAAGAAGCAAATGAGATAGTTAGCAGAGGGAGTAGGGGGTCAGGAAAAATATTTCGTTTTATTTAAGCAGGAGAAACGAACAGTATGCTTGTGTACTGGTGGAAACGAGGAACTAGCCAAGCCAAATGGATGATGTCCTGTATGAGGGAGAAGGGATCTGGGCACACGTGAAAACAAACAGGCCTAATGAGCATATAGCCCTATATGGCTTCTCCAGACTGACAGCTGCCGAAACCTAGCTATCCAGCAACCTCACGAAAGCAGACTCGGGCTGAGGACCCAGGAGTTCTCAGGAGCCCTGGGGAAGGCCACCAGGCTGTGGTTTTAGACTCCAAACAAATGGGCCCTGTTCTACGCAGACGCTCTGCCAGCTCCAAGAAGCATCATCACTAGGATAAAAACCAGACCCCCGACTTCCACCGAGCTTGGCCTTCATTACATCCTGAAATCGAGACACGTTTTAAACTGATGTTAGAAATATTTGCAAGCTATTAGGCAGAGTACGTGCTGACAGACGGTCACTTCCTCGGCTCGAGGGAAGTTAGCTGTGCATGAAGGGGATCAGTCATTCAGTTGCCCCTTCGGCTCCTTCAGTTCAGTTGTGTGGATTCGTGGAGTCACCGGACATTGACTGTAATTTGTGACTGTAGTCTGTTGCTTACAAGGCTTTTAAAACAATCCCTCAAAATGTGAAGGTAATGCATGCATCACAAGCTGCTAGCCACAGGCCTGGCAAAAATCAAGAACCTGTCACATTTCTGAGGAGAAATAAGAGTTTCAAACTAGGCGAGGCTGGTCTGACGTGAGTTTTGAAAGATATCTTACTCAGAC